AAGAATTACGTCAACTTTATACCTAGATTAGGAATAGGGAGTCTAGCTTTAAAAGTTCCTAAACTAAATTTATTGGCAATACCAAGATATACCCAAAGGCATGACTCATTGAAACTGGATAACGTCCATGAATTAGCTCATTCTTTGAATGATATACAATCAATGGTAGATAAAGAAATGGACAGACAAAACGGGAATGCAGACCAAACTGAACCTTATTTAATCTATGTGTTATTAGGTTTATTATTATTTTCTTTAATATTAATTTTATTATTGTACGTAATGTACGTGTACAATAAAAACTTAATAGGTACACGCTCCATAAGAGTAAGACATATTGAGGAGCCAGTAAGAAAAAGTAAATTTTTCAGACAGGCAATTTACGAACCAATGAGTAAAAGTAGTAAGACATATGACTTGCAAGGACCAATAGTACACTGTAAGTCATATGAAGAAAAGGATAAAAACATACAAGAAACCTCATTTTCAGATACTGTTGATAGGAATATAAATACTAATTCCGCTAACTTACCAGCAATAATAGATAGATAACTAATAATGTAATTAAAATTGTAATAATTGTATAATTAATTTAGATATTCATATTTGTATATAGAGAAAATACCCACAAATTCGTGATAATGGATTTTGAATTCACCAATATCCATAAAACCAGTAAGGTCCTCATCTCAGGAGCTATTTCGAATAGTTTGGACCGATTTAAAATAAGGAAGTTAGAAGGACGACCATTATATTTACCAGAAGACGGGGAAGTTCGACCGATGAAAGACCGTGAAGTATTAGTTGCACAGAGAGCGTTGGCTCGAATTTTTAAGGCGAAGACGGAACTGCGAGACATATGTTTAGAACAACTAAACCAGAGTCTAAGAGCCCCAGTAAATAGTTTAAATGCGACCTATATACGAAACTATATACTGCGTGGTGACAAGATTAATGTGTTAGTAGTATGGGAAGGTAGTTCTGATAAGGTCATTCTCAAAAGATTAGGAATAACGGAGTTTCCTATATTAAATTTAACTTGTTATGATAAATACTTTAATAAGCAATTTTATATGCAATTGGAGACAGTAAATCCTAAAAGGACAATTTTTGAAATAGAAGTAGGTACTTATGATAAGTCAGGGAGAACCTTAAATCTTACAGAAGCACATAACTTAATTTGCAGGAAAAAACACAAAATTACACATGCACACGACCCACGAACGGATGTTATATTTACAAAATGTATTTTTGACTTCGTCGTACGAAATTATAAATATGAAAATTTAATTAAACATTTTTAACAATTTAAAAATTTAAAGCTTCAAAAATCAAAATTGCAAATAACATTTCATTTTTAACATCATTTTAATATTATAGGAAACAGTAATCTAAAATGGATAGGAATGAACAGTTATTACAAGAACTTAACATTAGTATAGCAATCCAGACACACACGAACTCAGAACAAGGAGAATGGTATAACTTTACAGAATGCTTTGACTATCACATAATTTCTGCTAATAATGCAATACTGGTACCATACGAAAGCAGAGAGGTTTTGGAAATAATAAAATGTGTAAAAAGGTTCGTAACTGATATGGTATTGGGAAGGGATCTAACAAATCCAATATGTATGGATTTGGCTCGGTACATTGAAATTATACCCCAAGCAACAGATATACTGTTTTATGATAGGTGATATAACGGAAATTAATATATACTGGTCAATATACCATTGGAGAATTTAAATCTTATTATAATTGTTAATAATCAAATATTGCTATTAATCAAATAATTATTATTAATCAAATATTGTTATTAATCAAATATTACTATTAACCAACATTTTATTGTAATCAATAAATACTATATATGTAAACTAACATTTATTATTATAACATTAAATATTATATTAATATTGTATTGTATTGGAACTATTGTATTTTAATCAATTAACTTAATCAAATTACTAACAAATATTTTATCTGTATTTAAATTTTATATGTAACATTATTGTATCAATTTAATCAATTGTAATACTCTAGACGAGTAATTAAAAAAAAAAAAAAAAAAATGTACTAACAATTATCATGTAAATTGTCATAATAAGACAATGATTAATTATTTATATATTGTATCTGTAAACTCATGAACCATGTAATTTATGTAAACCAATTGTAAACTTTTATCTATGTAAAATTTTAAAGCTTTTTGTAGCCCTACAAAATTGTAGCCCCACAAAAACCTTTGAAAGGGCGGTGAGGTGTAGCGAGCTGTGACTATTTCCTAAATAACTATTTAACAATATAAATCTCATTCTAATATTATGTACGTAATCATAATATAATAGACGCGCCACGTAAATATAATATAATAGTAATACGCGAGCGTTGCTCGCGTAAAAGTTAATAATAGTAATAATAATAATGTCGCTGGCACCATGTATACAGTACGTGTGTAGTGGAGCGACGACATCATATATACAGCGCGAAGCTAATAATGCTCATGACCATGAACGGCGCGCGGCAATAGATATATGACTACGTATATAAATAATTCTAAAATACTGTAGATTAGGATTTGTGCTGTTATATTAAATGACACCACAACTAGCCAGAACGAGGACCGTGTGACAATCCCACGATAGGCCTAACCGCAGGATGACCATGTGTGGTCATGTGAATCTGTGGAAGGGACTGGACCGACCCATCGAGGAGAGCTGATGGACAAGCGTTCATCAGACGAGCAACCAACCTCAACTTCGACAGTCACACCACTAAATACTCATAGTCACAACTCGCTTTTAGTTTATTATTTGGACTTAGGATAAATTCCATAAAACTGTTTATAAAATAAATACAATAAATACAATCAAAAGAGGTTATTGTTCTATTATTGCTTCCAAATCAACAAGTAACGCTGTTGGGCACGTTACAAGTGCATCATACAGAGATAATGTTACCGAACGTTTGAGATCAGAAGAATTTGATGTCGAGTTAATTAATTCGCTGACATTTAGACAAGGGGATGGCATAGTTACAATAAAAACACCTTTTGAAGAAAAAGGCACGGAGCTTTGGGTAATTAGTCACTATAAGGTTGCTAACATTGAGAATGTACCAGTAAAAGACAGGTAAATACATTGGTTTAAATTTAAAATATTGATTAATCTGTTTTTTTTTTTTCACTGATTTTATTTACTTCTTTTGTTTTTAAAATAAAATAATTTGTAGATGGAAGTTCAGTGAAGTTACTGTCAGATTGTACACGAGCGACGAATCAAAAGATCAAACGCTTCATACTGGTCTTAATGAGACAATGCAAACTATACTTGGTAAATTACTAACCGATCCGAAGCGTCAGACTATTAAAAGCAAGAAGACTGTTTGGTTATTATATGAAAAAATGAGTTTCATGTAATAAACAAGATATTATTATTCATGTATGTTTTTATTTATTCAAAACTTAAAGGTTTTGGAAAACATAAACTTATAAACTATGGCTGGTTGGAAAAATTTATAATACTAACAAATTTAATCTACTTTTAAAACATAATATTAAAACTAAAACTTATTAAAACTATTCTTTATGATTTAAGGTGAGATGTAATTAAAATAAAAAGCAAGTTTATTATTGAATAAAAAAGTTTTATTAAAAAAAAACAATAATTATACATATTAAAATATTTTTTTTATAATATTAGATCTTGCAAAATCATATCGGACAATGTGTTAAAATGGAATTGTAATATTTCATATAAAAATGATGTGTCATCGTCTGTAGGTGATTACAATAATTAAAATCATAGTTTTGAATATATTGGTTAGTAAATTCGTTCCTCTGACAGGTGGACGGCAGACCACGGACATCATTTTTAATTAGGTCATATGCAGTGTTGAAAGTATTTTGATAATTTGCTAAACGTTTTAAACTAAAAAATTGTGACTTCGTGTTATTACATTACCTACATTCTACAACATAATATTACGTACCCACAGCTACAGGTCAAAAACTCTTACTAGGACTAACATTATTTTATTATTATATACTTTAATACTTAAGCTGATTTATAAAAATGTGTAACTAGTGTGTAAAAAAAAATATATTAATAATATTTAATTACAAACACTAACATAATTGTATTATTATATTAATGTAATTAATTTAATTTAATTTAATTTAATTTAATACCATTACACACTATTGTATGCTGACTACCGCTAAAGTGCTAAACTCGTGTATAAAACGAAACAGAAATTACAGCTCCGGATTATACGTTGATTTGGCACCGAGTGCTAGATTCATGTATAGAACGTAAATACGCTGTAATTTCTTGGCCAGGGGAAGGCGGCCGAGTGACTAGACCGGGCGGCGTATTTACGTTCTGTACATGAATCTAGCACTCGGTGCCAAATCAACGTATAATCCGGAGCTGTAATTTCTGTTCCGTTTTATACACGAGTTTAGCACTTTAGCGGTAGTCAGCATACAATAGTGTGTAACGGTATTAAATTAAATTAAATTAAATTAATTCAATTACATTAATATAATAATACAATTATGTTAGTGTTTGTAATTAAATATTATTAATATATTTTTTTTTACACACTAGTTACACATTTTTATAAATCAGCTTAAGTATTAAAGTATATAATAATAAAATAATGTTAGTCCTAGTAAGAGTTTTTGACCTGTAGCTGTGGGTACGTAATATTATGTTGTAGAATGTAGGTAATGTAATAACACGAAGTCACAATTTTTTTTGTAAGTATTTAAAGTGTAAATATTGATGAAATTTAAAAGTATTTTTACGTAAATAGGTTGTAATATATAAATTACCTTATTCACAACAATAGTATCAAATTTTTAATATTTTCAAATTTTTTTTCCAGATAAATTTCCATCACACACATAAAATAAATAATGCTGAGGCTTATAGTTACTTAAGAGTAACAAAACATATTCAAGAAGAATTTATAGAAATGTTTTCAAACGGAATGACACCTTCAGCAGCTAAAGCATATCACAAAATTAAAATAACGGCCAACATTGACGATGATATGCAAGTTATTAAACTATTAGCAGATGCACAAACAAATCCCACGGACCGACAAGTGTATCAAATGTTTGATTATTGGAGGTAAGTAATTTTTATGTTTTCATTAAATTGTATACGTAAATAAAATAAAATGTCCTTTTAGGACAAAACATTTTGGTGATCGTACAGAAAATAGCATTGCACAAGTTGTGAGGGAAATGCAAAATACATTTCCCGATTGTATTATTGAAGTGCAGGAAAATCCATTTTGTATTTGTATTGTAACGCCCATAATGCGTAGAGCTCATGGATTACCACTTTCTAGAGATATTGTTTTTGTCGATTCCAGTGGTTCGTGTGACCAAGGTGGCTCATGTGTTACATTTTTCTTTGGGGTTACAAAGGTTGGTGGTATACCATTAGCGGTATTGATTCATAAATTCACTACTAAAGATGATTATGCTAGTGCTTTCAAATTTTTAAGAAAATCATTGGGAAATTTTGCTTTTTATGGACAAATGGAGCCATCGATTTTTATGACAGATGATAGTAAATCAGAACGCCAAGCCCTTAATGTAATTTTTCCAAATTCTACTCTATTTTTATGTACATTTCATGTTCTACAAGCATTATGGCGTTGGTTATGCGAAAGTAAACATGGTGTTATTAAATTTGAAAGGCAATTATACATGCAAAGATTTCGAAAAGTTATGTATTCACCCAATGAAATCGAAGCTAAAGTATTTATGGATGAACTATGCAACGATAAATCAACTCTTTTTTCAAAACATATGATGACTTACCGAAATAGAATGTTAGAATGGTGTACATGTTATAGAAATCAATTTCCAACTCATGGCCATAATACCAATAATATTGTAGAAGCATCCATAAGAGTTTTTAAAGACATTGTTCTTGTAACATACAAGACAACATACTAACATAATTGTATTATTATATTAATGTAATTGATTTAATTTAATTTAATTTAATTTAATACCGTTACACACTATTGTATGCTGACTACCGCTAAAGTGCTAAACTCGTGTATAAAACGGAACAGAAATTACAGCTCCGGATTATACGTTGATTTGGCACCGAGTGCTAGATTCATGTACAGAACGTAAATACGCCGCCCGGTCTAGTCACTCGGCCGCCTTCCCCTGGCCAAGCGTGTGGCCTATCACCACATAGTATGCTCCTGCAAACTGCCACTTCGAAACCAAACCGCCGTCGGTCGAGGCAGTGTCCACCACGACCTACGTGTGAGGGCTCGTTGTTAATCTCTCAACACCGAGGGGCCCCCTCATATCCCGAAGCACCATTCTCGCCTACCGTCAGGTAAGGCACATCAATGGTCGGATGCGCGGACGAAGCTTCGTCGGCAAGTTGCCTCAGCTTATGGTCCTCCCGAGATTTGGGCCGTGTACCACGGGCTCACGGTGGGCCCAACTCCGCCTCCCAGAGGCGTCACCAGGTGGCTAAGCCCAGTGACCGACCCGCTCTTCATGAGGTCGCGGTCAGAACCTCTCAACGCCCTAATCCCCGTAGGTTTCGGTGCGTCCGCGCCCCGAGCGCCGACCCCGACTGGTCATTTCCCTTTAAGTCGCCTTGTACGACAAGCAGGGAATACTGATGCGAAATTCTGTACGGCCCTCGCAACAGGGCCGGACTCCGCGTCCCTGACGTATGAGCACGTCCCTGGCCAGAACGCGCTCGAGCGTGTTCCCCCGTTTCTGCCACTTACGCCTTACGTGCTCATCGGGAACACCCCGAGACTGTGCCTTCCGTCGTAGACGGGGCAGCGTTCTGACCCATTGGGTCCATTACCCATAATCACCTATCTGTCGTCCCTGTTAGTTAATGCTTCTCTCGCGAAGTTCTTTAGTGCTGTGAACGTCCTTCGAGACCTGAGGAAGGCTCCGTTTGCTGGAGGCCACGCTTCACCTTCTTCTCTCATTATTATTTTGAGTTTGCGCCTGGCTGCTGCTGTCCTAGGGCAGAACCTGAGGACATGGTTTACCGTCTCCGGCTTACGGTCACAGGCACAGATCGGGTCGTTGACCAGTTTGAAACTGTAGAGTTTTGCGTTAAAGTCCCCATGACCGGTGAGGAACACCCAACTACAATCAACATTTCAATCGAGCAAATGGAAGCACCCGCTGTACCAGCTGCGTTGTTGTAAGTATGCTTACGTAATTAATATAGTGGTGTTCGTCTCCTATGGTATACATGACCATAGTATATAATAATAAGTGAAGAAAATAGTCGTGTTAAATAATATAAGACATTTTAGGAACTTTGAATTTTCGTTTCAACAAACCGAAATTGTGTTGAATTTTACAAGTGTTTTTAATAAAATAAATCAATAGTTTTTCAAGGATTAAAATAAATAACATTTGAATAAAATAATAATTTATTTTAAAATAACGTGGCCAGTTACTTTAAATAAATTAATTTTTTTTCAACTTTAAATTAACTAAAATAAAATTATTTTCAGGTAGGTATTTTATGTTGCAATCATTTTAATAGAATAAGATAGATATTGTTCAGTACTTTAAGTCATTTATAAATAAAATAAAATAATAATTGTATTTACAACTAGCTGATCCCGTGCACTTCGTCGCCCGTTAAATGTATCAGCTCAATATAACTCAAACTTTGTTCAATTCATTATTCAATATTCGGTGTATGGTGTTCAAAATTTATCTTATTTTTTCCGTTGCCCGGAATAAAAATTCTGAATCGCAGCAGTACATTATCAGGTAGGCAATCTACCTGCGGTAGATCGCGGACCCCGTGCTGTTTGTACGGAAGTGTATGATTTAACTCTAAAGTATCAAAGTTATACCAAGTTTATTTTGATATAATACTGTGGATTAATATAACAAATTTGGTTGCTCGTAAAAAATCGCAACTCTCTTCTATATATATATAAATGAATGTATGACTATTTTAAAATGGCTATTAAAAAATAAGGGTTGATCGTAGAAGGGTGTATGTATTTTTGTATGTTGTATATTCTATTATTTTTTTTTTTTATATATATAACCAATACCTTAGCAACCATTTATAAACAATTATTTCTACCGTAAATTATCAAAATCCCCGTTTGAGCACTTCTTTTATTTTTTTCTGGACAACCCTTATCACTTAGGGGTATGAAAAATAGATGTTAGCCGATTCTCATACCTACTGAATATGCACAAAAAATTTCATCAAAATCTGTCAAGCCATTTCGGAGGAGTATGGCAACGAAAACTGTGACACGAGAATTTTAAATATTAGATAAATTTATTCAATCATTTAAATTAAAATAAAATAAAATAATAGTTTAAATTAAATACAATTTTTAACCATTCTAATAAAATAAATTCATTAACATTAAAATAACGTAAAATAATAAATTAACTTAAAATAATTTTCAATCATTTAATGATTCAAAATAATAATTTTATTTAAAAAAAAAAAAAAAATTTTTCCATCATTTAATTAAATGAAATTAAAATAATATTTAGTTTTAAACTAAATCTTCAATCGTTAAATAAAATAAAACAATAATTCAATTTTAACTTAACATAATAAATTAAATTTAAAATAAATTTCAATCATTTAAATAAAATAGAAATAGTACTTTGATTTTAAAATAATTTTCAATCATTTGAATAATTTAATTTAACAATTTAATTTAATTATTTAAGTAAATTAACATAATAATTTTAATACATTTTGATCGTTTAGTTAAACAATTTAATTGTTCGGGATTTTAATTTTCATATTCAAATATAATTTTTCTGATTGATTAATTATAGACATTTGTACTTATTATTTAAATTTATTTAAGCTGAACAATTTCTGTTTTACGCATCAGATTATCGAATTCAATTGTATTGATTATTATAATAATTTGAGTTAATTAATAATTTTATAGAATAATAAAATTATTTTAGGAATAAATATAGTTATTGAAATACAACGGAAATTCAATTCAGTTATTTAGAGAAGAAATCAATTAAAGGCATTGTTTTATTTAATTAATTATTTCAGATAGTAATTAATTTGAGAAAAATTTATTTTATTAATTAATTAACATTTATTGTTGAAATTATTTAGGACGTCTTCACTAGGTAAAAATTTTCCATTCTAGAAGTAATTCATTGAAATAGTTATACTGATTATTATAATAAATTAAAAGAATTATTATTGAATAATAATTTTTTATAAAAAAAAAGGGGGTTAATTATTTATTGTTGAATAAATTGAGAATTTATTGGGGATTTTATTTAAAGGCCGTGAAGTAAGTCCTTATATTTTGTGAATTTTATTGAGACAATTGATGTCTGTATTTGGGAATTTTATTTAAAGGCCGTGAAGTAAGTCCTTATATTTTGTGAAATTTATTGAGACAATTGATGTCTGTGTTGAGATTTTATTGAATTTATTATAGACCGTGTTGTAAGTCTTTCTGTTATTTGAATTTTACGACAATTGAAGTCGAGTTATATTATTGAATTTTATAGGCCGTGTTGTAAGTCCTTTTGTGTTATTTGAATTTTACGACAGTTGAAGTCGAGTTATTTTATTGAATTTATTATAGGCCGTGTTGTAAGTCCTTTTGTTTTTGAATTTTACGACAATTGAAGTCGATATTATTGAATTTTATAGGCCGTGCAGTAAGTCCTGATATTGTGAATTATTTGAAGACAGTGAGTCTATATTTTGAATTTTATTTTACAAGGCCGAAATAAGTCCTTATGTGTTGAAAGGAGTAGGTTGATTTATAAAAAAAATTTTAATTCAATTAATACAGTAATAAGAGTTACTATTTTAAATAGATGTCGTATTGGCTGATTAATTTGAATTAAAGCAAAAAAAAAAAAAAAAAATTTTTAGAGTTATTAGTCAAATTAAATTTAAATTTTAAATCGTATTGATAAATTAAATTGAATTAAATCTAAGTTAAATTTTTATTATTAAATTTACTTTAAATAAAATATTAAGTTATTAAATTGAATTGAATTGAAATATTGAATCAATCGGGTTGATTGTAAATAATTAGTAACGATTGTTATTAATTATCTATTGTTTAATTGTTGCTGATTTGTTTTGATTGTTGTTATTTAAATAATAATCTATTGTTTATTTTACGCACTGTAGTTATTAGTTATTTCATTAAATTTCATTAGAGAGTTAATTATTGCGTACGATTTAAATTTTTGTACACTAGTGTGTCAGTTACACTTTATTTCCGTTTTCGTTTACACTATTACATTAAGTGAATCTGGAAGTATACAATTAATAGATCAGGAAACTAGGGAAGTAGTAGTAATTAAATCAACAAGTTCTGATATAATTAATAACGAGGATAGTGAATCAAGTACAACTAGTTCGAAGGAGACTGATAACGGACCAGTAGACAACACAACAATAGTTGATGATAAGGAATTATTAATTGATTTAAGTACAGAAGAAGGTTACCAATATTCCAAAGATTTCGATAGGGAAAAATACTTAAGAGCTATAAGGGAAAAAGATTTATTGAATACAAGCATACGACCGATAATAGTAAATGAAATCGAGCTACGACAAATAGGAACTCGAACGCAGAAGGGAATAATACATTCGCAGTTAGGACCCGTTAAGCGAAATAGAAAAACCAAAATGCCAGGAAAAATTCTATTAGACAAAGCCACCCTTATGATTCCCACATGTAACGGCGAACGTGACGTATACCAATTCATTAAAGCTTGCGATTTGGCTTGTTCAGCAGTAGAAAAGGAAGACCTACCCATACTTACGACATTTATTAATACCAAGTTGTTCGACCAAGCTCTAAACGTATGTTGATATAAGGACACTAGCGATTGGGAAGGTATTAAACTAATTCTATTAGATGCCTTCGAACCCCAACAATCAACATCGTCATTACAAGTGGCACTAA